TGGTTTTATTAAATAGGATAGCGGTTATTAACGATCAAGTATCTTGCACAGATATTGTTATGGACAAACTTTAGGGTTCCTTGTAGAAATGGCAGAGTTTAAAGGTCGGGTTTAACACAAATATCTTGGTATTAATTTACTGGAGAGTCACTGATTAAACACAGGTACGCAAATATGAGGTAGGAGATAGAGGAGGAGGTCTCCTGCGCAGTCATTGTTACGGACCATCCTACCTATGAAAAGGATAGAGTTTGGGGATCCTTGAAGAAAAGTTTCATTCAGTGATTTGGCGCGGTTCTTGATAGGCTGGGTTGCACCGTCTTACTGTAACTTTAACAAATGTCAAAAATCTGTCAAATTTGATACAAAAAGAACCAGTAATCGTCATAGTTACCGTTAAAGTTAGGTGGTGCAACTCAGTCTTAGTACTGAAATATGAAAGCTAAAAAATTTTTAATACTTCAGCTTACAAGAACATTTCTGTTCCTGTATTTTTATGTTATTTCAAGACTAACACTTAAAATTATTTTTCTTTATGTTTCAGGTAAGAAATCTTCTAAATTCCAGACTTAAAACTATGTACTGTAAGTATTAACAACACTTACCTATTTTCAACCCTAATCGAAGAAAACCTGGCTAAGTGATTAATTTCAACAAAAAGCAATCTTCAAAAATGCCTGTACGGAACCCCGCTACAAAATGTATTGCTAAAAACTAAAGTTTCCGCAGGAGACCTCCTTAATTCAATTGCGTAGGCCAGGGGTGTCACCCGGGTCACGTGCTCCCTTCGCGTGCGAGACGCGTTGCTAATCTCAATTTCTCAACTCAAGCCCCTTAGGATGTGGATTATTTCTAGAGTTCCTTTATAAATGCTTTTAAGGGTCACTTCTACTTATTGTGTTTTCTGGGTTTTTTTACAGTAAGTTTATCAAATGCACTTTTTATTATTTACTCAAAAATCAAAATCATTTATTCAGTTTAGACCACAAGCGGCACTTATGAACGTCAAAAAAAAAAAAGGTAGACCTTATGGGGCACTTTACATGTCTCCTTATCTTTTGGGCCCTACCAGCGCTTCGCGACAAACATATGGCAAGAACTGTCTGGTATACGGACTTAAGTTTTATTGCAATGTAGGCAATAAGCAATTAAAGCATTTACATAGAGATATCAATCTAGATACTTATGCAGTGCTAAATCACTGATAGATTTAGCCTAGGACCACCGATTTTTAGTTGGCCGATAGTTGGGCCCGATTCTAATTTGTATGAAGAATCGGTCGATACCAAATAGATGTAATGTGCGCATTTTCATACATCTCCATACTGATTAACAGCCCGATCCAACTATCAGCTGAAAGTCGGTGGTCTGCGCCTAGGTTTAAAATGATTTTTTTGACATTATTTAACACTAAATAAAGATGTTAGTTTGAAGTATTTTGTACAAGGATGAACTTGAACGTATAATACTTATTGCTCTGATTTTAATATGAGTTAAATGCAGAAGGACCATAAAAATATAGAGATGATCGATCATGTATTCATTATAAGTTACCGATTTTGATTCCAAACATATAAAAAATCTGGTTACAAGGATGAACTCTCTGATGAAGGCAATGACTTATCATAAAAAATGTAGAGATGGTCAAGTATTGCACACGTAACGTTCCGCACACTGACCACGACCCTTAGTAACCGCACACTACCTAACAAAGTTATGTAAAAACGTTCTTGAAAGACAGAAGAAGTATATTAAAACGCGAATATTTCACTGAGTTATGGAAACAGATTTATTCATTGTATAAAGAATTGTATTTACAAAGGGTAGAGCTGAAGGAAACTAATGGAATGCTTTTTATTATTCTCTTGGAACTGGGAATATTATTAATGTAGAGACGAATCAAAGCTCGCACTTACAATATAAAAGGAAAATATTTTGGATCTCTTTAACAAAACAAAATAGATCAACATTATTATTTCATGAAAAACCCTTATAAAAGCTTACACTACTTTATGTTTTAATGAGGTCATTTTAAATACTGTAATCCTCAGATTTATTCGCGTAATAGTCTGTAATTGTTATTGGAGTTTTATTACCACTATGGTTTCACTAACAATTAAGCCTTAATTAAAGCAAACTCTATAAATCTCTATTTGNGTTCTCAACTCAAGCCCCTTAGGATGTGGATTATTTCTAGAGTTCCTTTATAAATGCTTTTATGGGTCATTTCTGCTTATTGTGTTTTCTGGGTTTTTTTTACAGTAATTTTATAAAATGCATTTTTTATCTGGGTAGAGACGGACTTAAGTTTTATTGCAAAGTAGGTAATAAGTAAGTATTTACTTAGAAATATCAATTTACTTAGAGACACAGATAGATTTAAAATTAATTTTATTGACAGTATTTAACACTTTATAAAGATGTTAATTCTGAAGTATTTTGTACAAGGATGAACTTGATCGTACAATGATTCTAATGTGAAGGAAGCAGAACAATCATAGAAATGTAGAGATGGTCAAGAATTTAAATACTCGTAAATGTTTTTAGTACTTACTTTTAATATTGTTTGAGTGTACGAACAACAGACTTCTTTATTAAATTTTTAGCATTAGGAGTTGCATCTCAAACTCAATCGTGTGTTCAATTTCCGCCTTAGGCAGTTCGATTTTTTCAAGTTTAATTTATAATTTTCAAAACAGTCATCTTGATTTCTATCCAGATAAGATATAAATATGGCAAAGATAAATCTATGAAGTCATTATAAGTACCTACTCAATTATCTATTTTTGATTCCAAAAATACAAAAATCTGGATGGTTACAACAAGGAAGAGAAAGAGTTCACTGTTTGATTTCAATGAGAGTGATATGCAGAAGGCAATGACTTATCATAAAAAATGTAGAGATGGTCAAGTATTGCACATGTAACGTTCCGCACAGTAACCACGACCCTTAGTAACCGCACACTACCTAACAAAGTTATGTAAAAAGTTCTTGAAAGACAGAAGAAGTATACAGGGTGGAATTTTGTAATGCCACCTAGAGGGAAAGTACTCTTAATAATACTGTAGATAGAACATTTTACTCAAAGAAAACATTCCTTTATTATTAAAAAAAATAAAACTGCATTCAAAGATTTCTAATAAATTGCTTGGTACGCCCGGGAATCGAACCAACTAAAATCTGTTAAAAATTACACCCTGTATTTTTATTGCATAGATCGTTAGGGTTAAGTATAAGGATGAATTCTATCTAACAAACTTTATAAATCAAATGAAAAGAAAACCATAAAATCTTAAATTATTTTGATTATTTACAGAAAATTGTATGGTATGGTGGTGAATTTTCAAAAATTTTCGAGAAATCTTTGAATGCAGTTCTCTTTCTTTTCAAAAATAAAGGAATGTTTCCTTTGAGTAAAATTTTCTATTTACAGTATTTTCAGTACTTTCCCTCCAGGTGGCATTACAAAATTCCACCCTGTATATTAAAACGCGAATATTTCACTGAGTAATGGAAACAGATTTATTCATTGTATAAAGAATTGTATTTACAAAGGGTAGAGCTGAAGGGAACTAATGGAAAGCTTTTTATTATTCCCTTGGAACTGGGAATATTATTAATGAAGAGAATGGTGAAGAGACTAGTCAAAGCTCGCACTTAAAATATAAAAGGAAAATATTTTGGATCTCTTTAACAAAACAAAATAAATCAACATTATTATTTCATGAAAAACCCTTATAAAAGGTTACACTACTTTATGTTTTAATGAGGTCATTTTAAATACTGTAATCCACAGATTTATTCGCGTAATAGTCTGTAATTATTATTGTTATTGGAGTTTTATCACCACTATGGTTCTCACTAACAATTAAGCCTTAATTAAGGCAAACTCTATAAATATCTATTTGCCACAATAAACTGCACACGCTGCTGTAAGGTAGAGCTTTTACAGAAAGTTTAGATCCAAGAATAAAAACATAATTTGTCATTGCAGGTTGCAATTCCAGTTACATAGACTACTAGCTTTCCGCCCGCGGCTTCGCCGCCGTGGAATGTCGTTTGTTAAATTTTCCTGAATTTTCTTTGCTATAAACCTCACGGAGCCCGAGACCTTTCCAACGAATGCAAAACCGTGGAAATCGGTTCGTGCGTTCTGGAGTTATAGTGTCAGGAAGGAAAACCCGACTTATTTTTATATTTCCGATTGTAGAGTCATGAAAATTCAAAGCTAAAGAATGAACTTTAAGTCGATTAAGGCTTTTTATCCTCATCGAGCGTTCATTATATAACATATAACATAGCGTCACCGGCCTCGCGGTAAGCACACGACCCCAGCGGACTTTTAAGCACANTCGACTTATTTTTATATAGTAAATTGTAGAGTCCCGAAAGTTCAAAGCTAAAGAATGAACTTTAAGTCGATTAAGGCTTTTTATCCTCATCGAGCGTTCATTATATAACATATAACGTAGCGTCACCGGCCTCGCGGTAAGCACACGACCCCAGCGGACCTTTAAGCACAGGGCTGGGGAAATGGTAGAGACGAGACAATTTCTTGATAAAGCTTGCGAAATAACGTTGATTGCTACTTGACACAATTCATTCGTTTCAACCAAATGCTGTCCACTTCTGGTTAAATGTCCCCTAATTGCACAATTACTTACTGTTTATTTATTATCTTCACCAACACGATAATATTTAATAATACGATCATTATAAAATAATACTTGTAAGATGTCATTACGTTGTATTTTTGAAAGGAGATTAATTTAAAAAATTTAATTGGATTGTTTGACAGCTCGTTATATTTTTAACTTCAACTGAGAAAAAACTGCTCAACATTTGACAAATCCAATAAAACGGTTACGCGCACATCAATCGGTGACCATTATCATCTTATCCCGATCCGAACCCTAATCTAATCGCGCCCTAAAAACAAGTTCCGATTCCCACAAGCGGCAGCCCTACGCACCCCACCAGCCACCAGCAAGTCGCAACGCGCCGGCCGCGACACTAGTCCGCGAGCCGCCGTCGCGAGCGCACGCGTTGTGAGTGAGTGATCTACAAAATGGTGCGGAGCCTCTCACAGTGGACCAAGACCCTCAGCTTCCCGGCCAGGCTGTCGCCCAACAGGACCTCCAAAGACGGGGTCAATGGCCAAACCTCCCCCGGGGTGTCTCCCACGCCGAGCGCCTCGTCGCTCCCCCAGGGATCCGAGAAAACTATCTCCCCCATCCCCATCACGGAGATCAGCCAAATAGTGAGTCACCCCAGTTTAAGTTTAGTGGGAAAATGCGACGCTTTTCGCATGCTAAAGCGCACCGGCACGGAATACGTAATTGAGGTATTTTGTGGACGGTTTTTGTGTGAGAACATCATGTTTTGGTTTGTGTTTCGTACGGAGAATTTGTTGTNTTTTGTTGTAACACTTATCGTAAATATTTCAATGAAATTGTACTTACTTTTTAAGTCATTTCATTACATATATGATTTTCTTTAGTACCAATTAAGAACTCTACATATTTTTGTGAAAAAAAAAAGAAACTATTGCGACAATATTTCACAAAAACATTATTGTTGTCATATTGCAAATAGGAATGCACATCTTTACCCTACTTTTCACACTACGTTGATAACGTTACGGCGTCTAAACATTATGTAATTCAGTATGAAATGCCATCTTCATTAAGCTTATTACTGTAAACAAACAATTGCCTCGTTACAATATAAGAATTGGTCCACCATTGTTTACAAAACAGTTCAAGTACCCGTCGAGTAACTTAAAAAGGTTTGCAACAGTTATAACTGCGCCAGAGTGCGTGCTTAAAATGTGAACATACTTTATGGCCCTCTATATTAGCGAATCATTAAGTTCAACGTTACTGAAAGGAAATGAATCGAAAACGAGTCCGGTATCCAAAGCGGTTTGCGTTTGTTGTATCTTTATGGACGTTGTAGATAGCTGGTTTTGAGTCGGGGTGTTTTCGTTTTCTTCGAAGTAAACGATCAATGGATGCGGTGTTGGTCGATCGACCGCGTTGTTGTTGGCTGTTGCGGAGGTTCGTGCGCGGACGCAGACATACCGTTATGTCCCCTGCACTCACCTTGGCAAGGCCGCGAGATGCCAGTTTTTGCAAAGTATGAAAGCACATGACTTTCACCTTTTAAGACGCCTTTCTAAATACTGAACACTGTTAGACATTTTAGGTTTCATTGCATTCATCCTTAACAATAAGTACAATAACACTGCCTTACTAAACTACTTACGACACAACAACCTTATTTAGAGGACGCCTCAAAGATCACGTTCTAAATTGTAATTACAGCAGTTAATCTCTTACATCTTTCCTAATAAGCGGAAAATTGAATCATTTAACCACATAAATATGTAGATTGTACCCGTAATAGATATGCAAATATTATACTTTGAGATCCTTAATGACTTGCAAAGATTGCACTAATTAATATAACACTGGGTTTCTAAGTCATTGACCCATGCAAATTATTTTTGATTTTCATGTTGTAAAGATTGGACTATGTATCCGAAACGAACTGTAGACTCTAAACATGATTTATGTAAAAGAGAAAAAAAAAATGTTTGCCTTCTATTAGTAGTATACTTATTTGCATGCCGTGGCAGCCTTTATGTAAGGCAACACCACATAATGTTTGATGTATTAAGATTATATTAGATAAGGTGTATGCTTTGTTGGCTGTCCTTAAAATAAATAAATAAATTGTTCCAATGAAGACAATCTAAAAGAAAAAAAGGCCGTCTTCATTTCGCATATTCCGCAACAATATTTATTATTTTGTACGTTCAGATCGCGTTAAAAATGTCAGAGCCACATGACCTCATTGGCTGTAAATTAAGTTCTCGTCTCAGTAACAAAATAAAATTTTCATTCGTAATCGTAAAAGAGAGTCGTCAATATTATACGCCATCTTGGATTTATTGCGAGCTTCGGCGTTTTTTGACGGATTTTAAATTTAAAAAAGTCGTTTGACGTTCCGTGTCGTTTATTGCCAGTAAATAAGGTAAGGCTCGATGCGAATTCTCTGCAACGTCTGCAACGATTGGGCGAAGGAATGCAGGCTGCGTTTGATTGCCGTGGCATACATTTACTCGTACATTGTCGACGCAGTTATTAGCTTGAGGCGTTCAAATATGCAAGAGCACATCGTACAATGTTTGCTTATTACACTGTTACCACTTTTACGCTGGCATAAAAATTATATTGATTGTAAATCTATTTTTTTATTTAAACATTTCTGAACGACTCGCCGATATTCCATTAGTCGTGAGTCGAAGCCGGCTAATGGTTGTAGCAGTTTAGCTTTCTCGTTTTTGCTCCCACATTTTTTAATCGACAAAATTTCTTCTGTATGACTCACAAAAGTAACCATCTTGTAATACTGACCGAGCACTGTGATGATTCAAAAAACATGCTTTCCACTGTCTTTAACAACTGATATTAAATTACTATTCATTTAAGTTATTATGTTGCTACTTTGTTAGTAACTGTTTCCAAAACAAAGAATCCAAAGCCATACATTTCCTTCAACAAAGCACAAATTATAAAGCACTCAGCTTATTAGCAATTATCCATGCAACAAATGCTATCCTTTGGAAAGTGCCCGCGGCCATTTTTATTAGGTATTTTATAGTCGCCGCGGAACAAACATCTGCGTGTCAAATTCCTTGGTGCCATGTGCAAGGCAGTGATGGGAAACGAACCGTGCACATGTGTTGAAAAAAGTTATGTTCATTTGAAAATGGAATATTCATGCGTACGACTGTTTATGTAGGTATTTTATAGTAGGATCAAACGCGGAAACTGAACAAATAATCTACGATCAAAAAGTCGGTTTTATGCGTTCGAAAAAGGATTGAGCGATCTTTTTGATGTCGTCGAAATAGATCGGCAGCTGATTTTTATTGCACGTTATCTGTGTAATGTTAAAGCAAACAATTTATACTGACGAAATCAGATACAAAAAGCTTTCAAATAAAACTGTCTCTACATTTTAAATAATACTTACTTAAAGTAACTGTTCTTAATTATGTAATTACAAAAAGTTAAACACTGGGATGAACACTGGTTTAAAATTACATTTTCATACTAAATGTCAATTTAAATTAGAGTTCAACTAGAGTTTAACTTTTTGTAATAAGGGGGATGAAGTACTGGTACAAATTGAAATATTCCATAGCCACTTTTGTCTAAATTGAATACTCCATAGATAAATGAGGGTGTTTTTTTGACCGTCAGCTGGTTGTGCTACGGAACTCGCGCTAGTGTTCCTCATAAAAGGCCCAAATAATAGTGATTTGAAAAAGGTCGTTTGACATTATGTTTGTAGGGTAGTGGGCGTGTCGTGAATGTGTGTAGCAGACGTTGACAGCTTTTTGCCGGTAGTCAGTTTTTTTATCTTACAGAGATGGGGTCGATCGGGTATATTTATATTGGGTTATTATTGTTTGATGGCCTTATTTGCATTTACACGAGCTAACCTTGTTTTATTAGGGACAGAGGTATTTTCTTATCTTAGTTTTTAAGGGTAATAGATGGGTTTAAGTTAGGTTAGGATAGAAAATTTAATTCACGACCACTTTTTATTAGATTTTTTAATAAAATAATTTAAACGAGACCAAAACGAATTGATACTTTTCGAATAGAATGAAAGAAAATATCGAAAGAATGTAAGTGCTAAGTGTGGTATAATATTGTCATATCTGACGTCAGCGTAATCCGCTGAGTGGCTAAACGACAGCCGAGCAACGGAATACTTGATTCAGCAAAAACATGACCTTAACGTGTCATCAGCATAAATAGGTCTTCAGAGAAATGACCCGAATGGATTAGCTTGTAGACTTAAATAATGTAATGTTAGGTAGAGTGCGGTATTTTTTTATACAGCAAAATGCAGGTCGAATGCCAGTAATCACACTGATCTTAAGTGTGATGCAATCTAGAGTACTTCTGCTACTTACTTAAATGCCTTCACTTTTTCCTTTGAAGAGGAAAAGATTTCCCTGATTCATTCATGATCATGTCTTTAAAATCAGTTGAAGACATTATGATTTATCAGCATAAAGAACGTAAAAAATACCTACTTTAAAATCAGACAGAAATTATCAGCTGATCCCAACAAAGATGCTCACATATCCATAAAGGGTACCCTCATCTCTCCCATTCATGGAACCCAATCAGAAGTGGCAATATCGGATGTCATCCAGCGGATATGACACGCGATACTGGTGTCAGACAACGCTCGATATCTGAAGGACGCTATATAGGATGCAAAAACATCCGATAAAGCCGTTTCCGGGTGAGAAATTTGTTTTTTGATAAGATTACAATGATAATACGATGATTGTTATGTTTAGTAATCCTTTTTATGAAGTTTGAACTTGCGAAATAAATTATACTGAGTGTTCGGTATGTGCCAGATAATTTCGATTGTATAGCTACTCGTTCGTTTCAGCCAAATGACGTCCACTGCTGGACAAAGGTCTCTCCCAAGTTTTTCCACAATAGCTACTCATTTTATCATTTAGAAACCTTATTTCATAAAGTTTAAAATATGGCAGCCTCGATTCAGCCAGGTGGTTTAGAATAAGCAATCGTCCCTACATAGGATGATTGTACGTAAATGAGGTACCATATAATGTAAATTCTATTACAATAATTCTCTTTTTGATAAAAATGCATGGTGGACAAATATTTCTACAGATGTTTATTTAATTTGAAGAAGGTCTGAATATATAAAAATAATGAACTAAGAAAATACAGCAAGGATATTGGTAACTCTACATTCTGCAATCCTGCATTCTACACTTTGACTTGTAACTCTAAGCCTTTTAGGTCTGACCTCTAGGTTCAAATGTCAAAGGGCTATCCCCGTAGCAGAATTAATTGCTATTTTATATCATTGGATTCATTATATTACTTGCTTAGTAAATTCTAGTTAGTAATTTGCACAGTTGCCTTAAATATCCATGTAAATAAATCACAAATGAAATAGGTATGTCATTTTAATACTTTTTTAAGTTGAAATAAATTGTTTGGCTTCACCCTAATTGAGATTTAACATTTGCTATTAGTAGAGCATGTTTACGCAATTCAAAGTCACCCTTCTTTTTTATGACAAAAAGTTAAGCAAAAAAATAGCTATTTTTGGTGTTAAATCCTAACTCCCATAAAATAGAGTCAAATATTGGCTTCTTATTTTTTTATATTAAACTCATTTAAACAT